TGAGTTGCCGCCATGTGATTGGCTGATTAGAAATTAAGTGTTAACGAGCAGTTGGACAGGTGTACCTAATAAAGTGGCCGGTGAGTGTATATCAAGGCTGCACAAATGCACAAACGGGGTCAGTAGGTGCAGGAGTGCTGATTCTGCACAACCACATGTCAGAGTCTGACATGTTAAATTAATTAGAAACTGGGATTTTGAAAAATCGTTAAAACTTGAAAAAAATTCATGAGATTGCTCTATACGTCCGTATACCTGCAAAATGATGGAAAATCCGTGCAAATTACGGTCAATCCGTACAATTTACATGTACAACAGAAACGGAAGCAGACTCCACACCTGCAGGTGGCGGTAATGCACCTTCAGTTTCCTGTCAGCCGCCATTAAACTCCTCAAGAAGAAGAAGAAGAAGAAGAAGAAGAAAAAGAAGAAGAAGAAGAAGAAGAAGAAGAAGAAGAAGAAGAAGAAAGAGCTAGAAGAGTCCGCAGACAAACAGGCAGAGAGTTGTTGATGTCGGAGCTGAACTCTGACCTGCAGTCCTCTTCCAGCCATGTCCGGTGGTCTGCAGACACTCGTGTCTCCGGTGTGAGGAGCCGTGGACTCCGCACACGGACCCGTGGGGCCTGTTTGTTTTGGTTCTTCATGATCCGAGGCCTGCTGTGAGCTAAAGCTGCTAAAACAAACACCGATCAGACCCGGGCTGTAAATGCTTTCACCTCTGGTTTAGGTCTTCGTGTCGTCTCCGCCTGTAAAATGTGGTTGAAGCTGTTCTTTTTGCTGCTTTATTTCCTGGTGCTGTTTCTGCTGGCCAGAGTTTTTGAGGCAGTAGTTTGGTATGAGACCGGCACGTTCGCCACGCAGCTCGTGGATCCGGTCACGCTGAGCTACAAGAAGCTGAAAACCATCATCGAGTGCAGAGGACTGGGTCACTCCGGACTGGCGGAGAAGAGGGGCGTCACCGAGCTGGTGGAGAAGTCAGGTAGACTCACCTGGACTGCACACACTGATGTTTGTGTGCACTTATAATCTTAAAGATAAACATTTGGGTTTAATCAACCAGACACTTCAAAGTTAAATGAAGGCTACTTTAGTTTTTAGTATAAGTAAGTAAACTTTATTTCTATAGCACCTTTCACAGACACAAACATCACAAAGTGCTTCACAGAAAGCAAAAACTAATTAAAAACAATAAAACAGATCACAGATATAAAAACAACAATTAAAACACAATAAAAAGCACATTAACTAAAAGCCTGTCTGAATAAAAATGTCTTCAGATGTTTCTTAAAAGAGTCAGTAGAATCTGAGCAGCGAAGGGACAGAGGGAGAGGAGCCACCACCTGAAAAGCTTTGTCTCCACTGGTTTTATAATGGGTTCCAGGGACCACCAGCAGTATTTGATTAGAAG